ATAACAGAACGAAAAAAAGTCACTCGTCGTTGTCCAATATGCCTCGATGAATGAATTTGTTATTTTTCTCAATCGTATCGTAACGTTCATTTTTAAATAATTTAGTTATATATTAAAGTTCGTTTCAAATTTAGATATTTAAATTTATTTAAATGGAATGTTTTTCTTGCAAAATATTCAAAATTTTTTTTGAGTTTCGTTGTTTAAACTTTGCAAAGAAAAAGGAAAAGATGAGAAATAAATTTACGGAAAGTATATCAATGTTGATAAGCAAGTACAAACGTAATATAATGGCTCACACTCGAATTCTTTTTTTTTATATTATTCATAGATTAGGAGTGGTTGAAAAATATATTAGATAAAAGGAGAGGTTATCATTTTTGTCATCAATGACGAGAAGGATTCTTCTAATGGATAGCTTACGCTCTCTGCTCGGTTCTTTCGGGACAACAAGTAAGATCTATTCTTTTTTTGTCGTCTACGCCTTTTACTTATTGGTTGAATTAGTATATATTTGGAATAGAACATATGAAAAAAAAAACTCTTAGTATTATCAAACGTACGGTTATAATTATTTTTTTCTTTCCATTCGTCGTTCTTCCTATAATTCATTTGTGTATATGGGCGCCCACTAGAATTTCTTTCTTTATGATTGACTCCTTTTCTGTTCTGCGTCTTATCTCATAGTGTATAGAATATAAATTTCTTCAATACTTATATAATATTAAAATAACTTTAGTTTGCTTTTTCTTTGTTGAGTCATCACAGTTTTATTTTAGACATAATAAATAATATCATTGAATATTAAATTTATAACAAAAAACAAGATGATAGATAATTTAAAATCTACAACTGTATTCAAAGGAGGACAACGTCAAACAAAACCAGTTCGTCGTTTTATTCGTAAATTTACTAATGATTGGTCGATGGATTTTTCTGCTATGTTAGCATATAATTTATTAATTACGCTTCTTCCAATAGCTGTTGCATTATTTGGAATAACGGGTTTAGTTTTGAAAAATTATCCTGATATACAAAATGAAGTCAAAGAAAAAATTATTCATTTCTTTCCAGCTGATAATACAACACAATCTGGAATTAAACAAGTAAATAAAATTAATTTAAAATAAACAAATAATTTTCTTTTTTTTATTTTTAAGGTAGTAGATCTTGCTTTTGATCGTTTATCAAAAGATGCCGGTTTAATATTAGCTATTGGTATTTTTTTTGCATTATTTGGTGCATCTCGATTATTTATTGCTATTGATAAATGTATGACTATTGTTTATCGTTTACCTCAACGAACATTTCTTCGACAAAATTTGTTAGCTTTTGGAATGCTTTTTCTATTTATAATAATTATTCCAATAATGCTTGCAGCTAGTTCAGCACCAGCAGCTTTAATAAGTATTATACCAGGTGGTGGTGGTCGTTTTGGAACATTTCTTGCTGGAATGATTTTTTCATTAATTTTTGGATTTATTTTCTTTGAAAGTATTTATTGGTTTATACCAAATAAAAAAATGTCATTTAAAGTCACATGGTGTGGAGCATTAGTTGCTGCTTGTACACTTGAAATATTTATTATTTTATTTCCATTATATGTACGAAAATTTATGGGAAATTATGCAGGTAAATCAATCAATCATATTGAATTTATTTTTGAATAAATATTAGTTTCTATTTTTTTTTTTATTAGGACAAATTGGTTTTGCAGTTATTCTTCTTCTATTCTTTTTTTATTTTGCTACAATTCTTATTTTGGGCGCACAAATAAATGCTTTCTTTTTTGAACATTATAAACCATTAATTGATGGATTGGGTACATATATAAGTCGAATGCATCAAGAACACGGTGTTGGAGATCCAACTAGACCTTTGTGTGAAAATGAAACTGATCTACAACAGCATCAATCGGACACAACAACGGCTGATCAATCATTGCATGGAAAAAGATGGTTAAAGAAATTATGGCCATCAAAAATTACTTCAGCAGAACACGGCACAGACGAAGAACTATAGCTTGAAAATCTCTTTTTTTTTGTTTGTTTTTGTTGTCTTTGTGTATAAAGATTTTGCTTATTCATGCATTTATATTAAATTTAAGCAATTTATTAATTATAAAAAAGAATCTATATAACAGAATATTTTATTTTGATTTTTTTGACTTGTTTCAGCATTGTATGCTAATTTGACAACATTCATTGAAAATCATGCAGGATGAAATTCAGATAATTTAAACCATTGTAAATAAATTTAATTGACTATTTCATAATCTTCTTCAATATTTATTAACATAATAAGACAATGAACTACTTGATCAATTAATGATTCAGTAGCATTAAATACTATTTATTAATATCTTAACATTTCATTTGTACAAAAAAATTGGTTGAGACAAATATAGTCTTTGCATAAATTCATTTATCAGAATATTTACTACTTTTTTTCCACAAAATAATCTTTGATTTGAACGATTGATTTAGAATTAACAAGGTCAACAAGACAAAAAAAAACAACAATAACTAATAGCATAAATATCATTGTAGTATAAAGAAAGAATAGTTTCATAAAGACAAGCGAAAATGAATTTGATTTTCTTTGTTGAATCGATAAGAGAAATCATTCTATATAGACATCTTGTTTTTTTCAAGTCTTCTGTAAAAATTTTTTTAACACTCATAGCTGTTATTTCATTTATTAAACATAAAATAATTCTCTTTCAATGATGAATAAACAAGTTGCATACTCAGTAAATCTTTCTCATGCTTCCTTGGTAATATCTGAGAATAATATTAATCGTGAATTAATGAAAAGATATTATAGTATGACAACAGTTAAATATTTTGTTTTTGGGCAATTAGAAAGAAACTTTAGAGAATCGTGTTCCAGCCGATTTTAAATAGAAGTAATGGATTCTTTTGAAGACAGATTTAATAATGCTATTATTTACCAATCAGTTAATTATCAAAATATTGCACACTATCTCTTTTATTCAATGATCCGCAACGATGAAATATTCGACGAAAAACAAGCGAAAATAAATTTAAGATTTGAAACATAATAGTACTACGTTTTACTATACTATATGAGATAAGAAAAAGAATAAATACAGACTAGATATATAAGAATCGTTCTAAACCTATGAACATTCTTGAATACGACATTTCCACATGCAAAGAGTATCACATCATGATTGAGGATGATTTGTTAATAACATTTCTCATAGTTCTTGTTCGGCCAAATGGCTAAAATTTTTCTCGCATATATATCTCGGTAGGATCTTTAAGTTTCCAAGGTTTGACATGTACAAATGTTCCTAGTTGATTTCTGTAATATTTTTACAAGTTATTCAATCGTTAGAAAGCGGTTAAAGATTATTTTAACTCAATAAAAATACATTTTTATTTAAAACCTTTTAGATTGAATGACAATTTTTATGTTAAATGTTCAGTAGTTATGAAAACAGACAAGATTGTAAATAGTTTTTATTTTGTCTCAAAACAACATGATGTAGAGTAAATGTCCCTAATAACGATACTAAAAAAATAACATTTCTTGATTGGTTCGGTTCTCAACTATTTTACACTCGATTGAAAATATTTTTACATATGAATAATCTTGGAAGTGCCCTCTTTCAAATGGTGTAACAACCATCTTTCACTGAAATGTAGTGGTCAAGAAATCAGCCATCTACGATAATCACCTGCTTCTATTATTCTTAGGGTACATTTCCTTAATAGCGATACTCAACTGATTTTTCACCCTAGTAAGAATAGCAAGCTGTTTTTGATGCTAATTACAACATAGCTATATTTTGGCGCTAATCATGATGTCCTGCTGCTTTTTTTATCTAATAACAACCAGCTAGTTTTCGACATTAGTCATAATACCGAGCTATTTGTTCATCCGAAAAACAGCACTCGGTCAGGTTTTCATTTCAATACAGACGCATCATTACGAATACACTTTAATAGAATCTATTCACAAGTAATGAATCTATTTATAATCCTTGCATACAGTTTGCGGCAAACTCAACTAGCAACTTTGTTGATCTTATTGAAATCATAGTTTTTCAATCGTTAATAAAACTATTTCTCTTTCATTAATATATATATGCTGCACGTAAAACAATCTGTTTTATCACCAATGGAGTTGTTACGAAGAACAGTAATGCTTATAAATGACCGCGTCTCATAAAAGATTATCATCCATTGGGTGTGAGTGTTGGAGTGTTTGTCCTCGTTTAATCCATACCAAAACCCACACCTGATCACATCTTGACCGATCAAATTTAACATCGCTTTATACTCACGAGAGTGCTCTTTTGAATGGTGAAAATCGCAGCTCTCTAACTGTCTCCTACCAAAAGTTATTGAGAAAACAATAACTTCTCTTTTGTTTGAAATAGATAGTAGTAATAAAGTTTTATTAAATACACGATTAAAAGTAAATTCTTGGAGAACTGATACATTTGATATCTTACCAATGAATAGAATGCGTTCTGGTAGAATAATTCAACCGAAAAATGATTTAAGCAATTGAATTGAATTATTATTTTCTATGGATCAATATCAAAGATTATTTACTAATGATGATCAAGGTTTATTATTTTTAGCAAATCATTCTCGATAAATAGACTTAATTTTATCTTTGGCATAAAGTAATTCATCATTGATGAAAATCTTCTAAATAAAAATGAATCAACATCTCTTTTATTAATGAAATAATTAAAAAAAATATCAAGCTGGAGTTGATGAATGTGAAACGAAATGAAGAAAAAAAGATACATGTGCTTGCTGACAACAACAATAAGATAGATAATAAAAGTTAACCTTTTGTTAATAGAATTTCTTTTTCTGTAAAAAGAAAGAAAAGAAGTTAAAAATGTTCATCAATAATCATCAGCAGAATCATTATCATGATGTTGTTTTTGAAGAACGTCTTAAAGAAAAAAAAATGCTAGTTTAATATATGTAGCTAAATTCAATAAACTATGGTTACAAATTTAAATTGGGATGAGTATAAACTGTGTCAAATACTGGATTATCAGGTATACATCTAAGTGCCTTTTCAAGTTGATCTTGATCTGAAGATTGATCATCAATTATTTCTTTTATTTCCTTAATCTCATCATATGCTATATCCCATGTTAAGTTAGTTTTTTCTGATGCACGTAAACTAAATGACAAATAGGCTAAATTAACTAAATCGATGTTTTTTCCCATTCAATGGCTATATAGCCTTTGTCAACAATACAGTCATAGTATAATCCTAATCATGCTGAATCAATAACATCAGCTTGATTTTCCGAATCTACAAAATTGAAATATATTCAAAATCTTTTAAATTTAATAAAAAATCTTACATCTAGCTTTTTCTTCGTCTGTATTAGTTATCGCAAATCAGATTGATTTCAATATGATAACATTTTTATCTAATTTATCACACAAAATATTTACACTTGAATCATCAAAAACTGTTTTAGTTTGATTTTGAGCATTAATATCCTGATCAAACATTAACGAAAAGGCGTGCCGTAAAATATCATATGTTTTTCGTTCACTACCACCAGCAATTATATTAATATTATTCAAATCAGCAACAATTTCATATAAAAGTAATTTAAAGAAATCTTTTTCGACTTTATTTGGTATATAATTCAATACGGAATAAAGTACATCTAGTGTCTCACCATCTTCATAATGTGTTACATCATGATGAAGATAAGCAAAAGGCTTATCTTGATAGGTTCCACTCAACAAAAGAAATTTGCAACTTCACGCACCATAAGTACCAATATTTGTTGTCGTCATAAGTGGTACACTGTCGACCATCTGTGCACAATTGTGCATTAATTCTACAAAATAATAACAAAGCCGAAATTAAAGTATTGAAAAAAAAGTATAGTAAAAGCATTTTAACATCGAAAGATGCTTCATTTCAACCTTTCTTATATTCATCACATATAGAAGATGATAGCTGTATTTAAAAAAAACGTACACATGCAAAAATTATTTCTGAAAATTATTTAGACAATTCTCTTTTATAGAGAAAAGAATTTCTTACGAAGAAATTTACCATCATAATAAGATCTTGTCATTTTGGTTTGTTCACCAAATTTACATTTACCAGCATCATCACCTTAAACAAAACAGAAAGCATAAATAATATATATTTATGAAAGAAAAACAAGAATTAGTCATGGAAAATTTTAATGTACGATACGAATATCTCTTATGCTTCCCTTGATTAATAATGTCTTTGTACAGGAAAAGAATATAATAAAACAAATTTAATTCAATTTGAAATATAAGCTTTACCTTCTTTCATTTCAAATGATGCGTCATGTTCAAGAGGTGTTGTATCTTCAATAGATTTTGTATCAGTAAACATATTTGTATTACCCATTCTTTTTTAAATCGAATTAATATTTTAAATTTTGTTTCCAATACTTTTCGAAAAGTATTGTAATGTCCCAGGTCCAATAAAACGGCGTCGTAAACAGCCTTAAATGGCGTAATAACCATGTAAAACGTTGAAAAACGTCGAAAAATGACGCCGTCATCCGTCATGCCAGATTATGGAAACAAAACCGGGGGAAGACGATGGCCGTTTTATAGCCGTTTCTGACCAGATAAGACGCCATTTCCGACGATCGGAATGATCGACCTGGGGTTCAAGAAAATTCTTTATCTAGAATGCGCATCGAAATTTATATGCAGTATGAAATAAAACTGTTGTTATCATATATAATAATTGATTGAAAACATTATATTAAACAAAAGAATTTATAAAAGATGATGGTCTTTTCTTTCCTTTTGCTTATTCTTTGGACGAGACAACATATACATACATTTTGTTATTTGAAAAATCTGCGAATAAACGTAATATGTGTCTAATCGACAAAATTAGAAAGAAAAAAATTTTATTTATGTAATTTGATTTGATAATCGATTCGTCCATAGAATATTTGTTCATTTTATATGAAACAATATTTCCATGTCATATTTATTCAGTGATAAATTCAAATATATAAAATATCAGCAGATTTTTTTTTATAAATGAATCGATCGTAAGTGATCTTAACAAATACTTGGAAATATTTACAATAATCAACTTTGTATTTGTAAATCAAAAAAGTAATTGAGAAGTGATATAAGAAATTCTTGTTGATTAAAAGAATCTTTAATCTAATGTACAATGAAAATAAGTCATGATACTGCAATATTTTTTGCAGATTTTTGATAATTTTGTTTTTAAATTATTCTAGTAATTGTTTTTCTATGCATTTTCGTGATAGATACATTGTGTATATTCATTGCAAATTTTGCCTTGTTTGCTTGAGGTGACGATATATTTATATCTTTTTTTTCAAGATTCATTGTTGACAATCGAAAAATATTGACATATGGCTTGTTTGATGTCGACTATGACTTCATCATGCACGAGATTATTCTCTATACCTCATTTCTCTCGAACCAATAATTGATATCCACCAAGTGAGAGAAGTGTCCAAGGACTGAGGTTTGGGAATTCTTCCAATTCCTAAAAACACCAGCTATACGTGATAATTCCCCCGAGAACCTGCGAACTGACCCTCAAACACTTCACAAAACCTTGTCAGTTCCCCCATCGATTTCTTCTAATGAATAAATCTCAATTGAATATGATGCCACTGGTGGATCCACCATGACGGTCATTCGGCCATCGCTAATCTCCTGAGAATAGAAGTGATGGCGGAAATTTTTAAAATGCTTGGATAATAAGTTAAAGCTGAAATTTTATTATGGAAAAAACGATGGATGGATTTTGTTACAGAATAGAGTCCTGCACGGGTACTACTTTTCGCACCCGGACCCGGCCCGGCTCATTTTTTTCAAACCCGGAATACGACCGGACCCGGTCATCTTCCACCCGGAACCGAACCGGACCCGGATAGCTCTACCCGGTACCCGACCGGACCCGGCCCAGCCTTGAAATAGTCAGCACTTGATTGTTATTGTCAAAATTATATTCACTTTTCAAACTTTTATTTCATATGGCAAAATATACTATTATTTTAATTTCGTCAAGTAACAATTTGTACCCGGACCACAGTTCCGGGTCCGATCGGGTGCCGGGTATCCGGCCCCGTTGCAGGACTCTATTACAGAAACTGGTTCTATTCCATTATCACCTTGTTCAACTACCAACAGGACCACAATCAAAATGAAACGAAAAGAAGAAATTCTTTTACCGGATACAGCGATTGATGCTTATGCTGCTTGTCCTGAATCATTTTATCCTAATATAAGACGTTTATTGAAAATATTTGCGACTCTACCAGTGACGACAGCAACTATAGAACGAACATTTGCAGTGGTGAAATTACTGAAAACTAATTTGCGTTCGACTCTGTCTGAAACACGATTAAATAGTTTAGCTACGTCGTATATTTTTAGACATTTATATGTAAATATTGATACGGTGATCAATGAATTTGCTAAATCTAATCGTCGACTAGTTTTTTACGTTTTACTGTTTAAGCTTATTTCGAAAGAAGTTGTTTTTTGTTTGCATGATATTATAAATCTACTACGTAAAAGCACAATGAAAAATTGAAATAAAAAGAGCAGTTTAATTTACGTACTTTGGGGTGGGTGTGGGTGTGGGTGTATCGGTTTCCTTTTATATGCACCCACACCCACTCACACCGACATCCACACCCACACCCACACCCACACCCACTCTACACCCACTCCCACACCCACACCCACTCCACACCCAGACCCACACCCATTCCACACCCAGACCCACATCTACATCCACACCCTTAGACAAATTTAGCTAATAAAGAGTTTCATATGTATAATTGCAGGGCTAAAATTAGATTAGAGATGTTCAATAAAAGATTTTTGTGTCAGTTTGTTTTTAAATAACAACCATTTGATGTTGTAATTCTTTCTGTTAATCA